CACATACATATCTTGGGGCCTGATTCTAAGAGGACCCTCGTTCACATATTCCACTGTTTCACATTTTCTTGACATTTCTCTTAAAAAAATATTACGAGGGTACAAAGATGATAATTTCATTAAAGGAATTAATGGGGTATAATCCATTTTTCTTATTGTTATGTCAAAAAGCCACATGCCTGGGGGACACTAATTAATTTTCCCACAGTCCTGTACAGGAATGAGCATAAAACACTGTGTCCCATCCTTCAGTTGTTGGTCCAGGTGACCTCAACTGACCACTCTCATGTGGGGCACCAGTGGGTTCAAGCCCCTGGAGTTTAAATTCTCATGGTGCCCCACATGAGAGTGGTCAGTTGAGATCACCTGGAGCAATTCTGGGCAATGGGAGTAAATGCTTTTCTATCTGTGTGACCTCGGAATAGTTCTAGAACACCACCAGAAGCAGGGACTGGTAGACAATTTTGAATACTTTATACATAGAAAACCCTGGGAAGAATCAACATAACTTAGAATTGACTTTGATAACACATTGATGTAGCCGCCTAGAGTGGTGGTTCAACTAGATAGGTGGGGTATAAATGCAATAAATAAATAAATTGATGATGAGGATGGTGATGATGACGATGATGATGAAATTGCAAGGTTTTGCTGGGGTCCTCCAAAACCATGTTTGGGCCATGTGTGCAAGGACATGAAGAAGGAGACTTAGAAAGCAGAAAGGGAGTTCCTACCAATCTGAAACTGTCCTAACTCTTGGTTCTTTTCTAAGTCCAGCCTTCCAGACCTACTCACCCACCAGCAGATGTGTAGTAATGCCAAGCTCATCATCTATAAATTAACACTTCACGGCACACTTGCATGCACTATGTAGATCACAGGTAAACAACTGTGGAGCCCTCAATGTTTTTGAACTTCTATTCCCATAAGTGGTCACAATGACCTATGGTAGGTAGGGATAGTAGGTATTGTGGGTGAAAAACATCTGGAGGACAATCTCCTTTCAGGTGCTCTGGGGCTAAATTTTGACCCCAGTTCCACAAAAGTATATGTATATATAAAATAAATGGGTAGAAACAAGACAGGAGGTGACCTGATGTGTACTTTTGACCTTGTAATTTCCACATGATTTTTCTAGGCTACAGGAGCCTGCAGTTCCTCTTCACACAAAGCACACTGCTCCTGATACAAGAGCATCACACATTTTTGCCTCACCCATTTTGTGATTATTTTCCTCCCTGCCGAACTTTGATGTAGAGTATAACTTTCCACTATTGTACAACTTCTGACTATTTTGCACTTCTTCCAGAGGAAAAAACAAGAAACCGGGCCTTCTCAACTATTTTGCACTTCTTCCAGAGGGAAAAAACAAGAAACTGGGCCTTCTCAGCAGTGGCTCCTTGTGTTTGGAATAGCCTCCCTCCTAAGATCCCATATGGCCCCTTCCCTGGGCATCTTCAAACGCCAACTGAAAACCTGGCTGTTCAAACAAGCCTTTCCTCCATCCACCATCTGATTTTGTTTTCTGGGCCTCTCCTATCTGGATCTTTGCATTTTTAGTAATATGTTGTTATGTTTTTAAATTGTACTTAGATTTGATACGTTGTCACCCGCCCAGAGTAGTCGGTACGACTAGATGGGCGGGCTATAAATATAACAAACAAACAAACAAACAAACAAACAAACAAATAAATAAAAACCTTCTAGAAATCCTCACCTTGTAAGCCTTGGACTGAAATAGTTTCCTATTCTAGATATGACGAAATGAGAATAAATGGTTCTTCTCTAGCTAAATTGCAATATAGTCCAGAGTTAAGCACAAACTCATAACAAACATCTCTATTTTTGCTTTTACCAGGCTGGTGGACCAATACTTTTTCCAAAGGATGTCTTTCCATCTTTTTTAAAAAACTTTTTGACTCTGTCCCTTGTCCCATACAGCATTGCTCAGAAGATGTTTGATTCGGGTTGGCTGGAAGTAAGTTAGACGTACCTCTAGCAATGCAAACGGCCTTGTATGTAAATAGGTTTCAACACAGTTGCCCATTCATCCATCAAAATGAAATGCATGCAGGCTAATGCCAAGAATGACATGAGATTGCTTGTAAAATAATGACCGAGCAACCAAAGGAAAAGCAACGGTAACAAATGAAATGCTTTCAAAGGCTTAGCAGAAGGTTAATAGGATCCTTTTAGAACTTTGCACTGGGCCACACTCTCTAGTCTTTGGACACAAATCTAGCAATATTGAATCTGCATTGAAGACAACTGAGGTGAGATCTGGATGTAGGATGGCCACCCTTTTCAATTAACAGTAATCTGATAATAGTAAATAATAATGATCTTCTGCCATCAGGACAATTTTGACTTTTGGTGACCCTTTTCAGAGATTTCTAGGTAGCGAGTACTCAGAAATGGAACTGTGCACCTTGCCCAAGGCCACACAGGCTGGCTCTACTCACAGGAGGAATCAAATTCTCAACCTCTGGCTCTGCACCCAGATACCTAAACCACTGAGCTATCCAGCCAGCCATCAGCAATCTAATACAGAGAAATTTAGCAAGTGACATGTTTCCTAGCATAGAAATAACTGTTCTGGGAAGCAAACAACAGATGCAGAATCACTGAACATTTGGTGATCCTAACGGGTTACTCATATGAGACAAAGTGACCCACACCTCCAGAGTTCCTATACCTTGTGATTTCACTCAATGATCAAGCCAGTTCGTGCTTGGTTACCCTTCAATTTCTGTGATTTGTTGCACAGTATTTTACATTACTACAATGTATGTGATGAGGACACTCTGGTCATCTGAAGCAGACCGTCTGTCCTTGCTCTACAGCCACTGGCAGGCATGATGGACACCGCAGTGGCAGGGCACCGGGAGGGAGCAGAAAAGAAGACAGACATCTCAGGTATAGAAAAAGAGCTGGAGACAAATGAGCCGCAGCTGAGGGAGGTGGTGTAGTATAGACCAGTGGTTCTTAACCTTTGTTACTCAGATGC